CTGAGAGGTAACAGCTCTTGTTTGTTTATATTTGTTTATTTGATAACATACTCAAAAGTTGATGCTTATGATAAAGTATTCCTCTAATTAAATGAGCATCCACCTGCCAGGCACAGTGGCTCACACCTGTAATCCCAGCACTTTCAGAGGCTGAGGCAGGCGGATCACGAGGTCAGGAGTTCAAGACCAGCCTGGCCAAAATGGTGAAACCCTGTCTCTATTAAAAATACAAAAATTAGCTGGGTGTGCTGACAGGCACCTGTAATTCCAGCTACTCAGGAGGCTGAGGCAGGATAATCATTCGAACCCATGAGACAGTGAGCCGAGATTGCACCATTGCATTCCAGCCTGGGCAACAGGGCAAGACTCTGTCTCCAGAAAAAGAAAAAAAAAACACCCACCTATAATAGTTCCCATGACCCCATAACAATGCTATGAGCTCAGCACATTTACAACTTCAGGAATGTGGAGGCTGAAGCTCAGAGAGGTGAAGCAACCTGCCCAAAGACATACAGGAAGTCCCTGACACAATCACGTCTGCCTGACTCCTGTCTGTATCCTATCTTCATTACGGCAGGGGCTGGCAAACATTTCCTTAAAGGGTCAGATAGCGAATATTTTAGGTTTGCAGGTCATACAGTCACTGTTGGAACTTCTGATAAAACTTGATTTAGGAAACATTTTTTGGCCACGCACGGTGGCTCACGCCTCTAATCCCAGCACTTTGGGGGGCCAAGGTGGGCAGATCGCCCGAGGTCGGGAGTTCGAGACCAGCCTAACTAACATGGTGAAATCCCGTCTCTACTAAAAATACAAAAATTAGCCGGGCATAGTGGTGGGCGCCTGTAATCCCAGCTACTCGGGAGGCTGAGGCAGGAGAATCGCTTGAACTCGGGAGGTGGAGGTTTCAGAGAGCTGAGATCGTGCCACTGTGCTCCAGCCTGGGTGACAGAGCGAGATTCTGTCTCAGAAGGAAAAAAAAAACAAAAAACTTTATTTAGAAAACATTTTTCAAATCTCCAAAAGTGTTAACTGTATTTACAAAAGCAAATGACTAGCCCAGAGGCTGTACATAGTTTGCTGACCCCTGCTTTAGTAGGAATGAGGAACTGAACTTTGGGGGCTCCTCAGGCCATGCCCTCCCATTTTGTATAAGGAAGACAGATATGTCTTGCCCAGAGGCAGGTGGCGGAACATCCTAAAAGGGAAGGGATAGTAGGAAACCGTGACCTCCTCTGGGCAGCCAGAAGCATTTGTTTAATCAGATTGCTTTCCTAACACTTGCTGATAAGTAATTCTTACTGCTTTCGGGTCATGGTGACTTTCAGAATCTGATGAGAGCCAGGCACAGTGGCTCTATAATCTCAACATTTTGGAAGGCCAAGGTGGAAGGATCACTTGAGCCCAGGAGTTCAAGACCAGCCTGGGCAACATAGTGAGACCCCCATCTCTACAAAAATTTTTAAAAATTAAAATAAAAAGTCTGGTGAAGCTTCTGGATCCAGATTCTCTCTTCAAAATGAGTTCCATCCTCAACACTCAATCTCACACTTTCACGGTATTTGAGAGGCCGCCCCCATCCCTCACCCCTTCAGGTGTCCATGGACCCCAGGGGAAGAATCTTGCCTTTCAAGGTTCTTCTTGAACCTTCTGGGTAAGGGGAGGACACGAACCCCCTCACCAGGCCGGGTGTCACAGCTCACACCTGTAATCCCAGCACTTTGGGAGGCTAAGGCCAGAGGATCGATCGCTTGAGCCCAGGAGTTCAAGACCAGCTTAGCCAACATAAGCTTAGCCAACATAAGGAGATCCTGTCTTTATAAAATTTTTATTTATTTATTTATTTATTTTTTTTGAGCTGGAGTCTTGCTCGTCGCCCAGGCTGGAGTGCAGTGGTGTGATCTCGGCTCACTGCAAGCTCCGCCTCCCAGGTACTCGCCATTCTCCTGCCTCAGCCTCCAGAGTAGCTGGGACTACAGGCGCCCGCCACCATGCGCAGCTAATTTTTTGTATTTTTAGCAGGGATGGGGTTTTACCGTGTTAGCCAGGATGGTCTCGATCTCCTGACCTCGTGATCCGCCCACCTCGGCCTCCCGAAGTGCTGGGATTACATATGTGAGCCACCGCGCCTGGCCATAAAAATTTTTAAAAATTAGCTGAGCATGGTGGCACATGCCTGTAGTCCCAACTACTCAGAAGGCTGAGGTGGGAGGATCACTTGAGCCCAGGAAGTCAAGGCTGCAGGGAGCTATGATTATGCCACTGCACCACTCCAGCCTAGGCAACAGCAAAACCTTGTCTCAAAAACAGAACAGGCCAGTCCCAGTGGCTCACGCCTGTAATCCCAGCACTTTGGGAAGCCAAGGTGGGCAGATCACTTGAGGTCAGGAGTTCTCGACCAGCCTGAGCAACATGCTGAAACCCTGTGTCTACTAAAAAATACAAAAATTAGCCAGATGTGGTGGTGAACGCCTGTACTCCCAGCTACTTAGGAGGCTGAGGAAGGAGAATCAGTTGAACCTGGGAGCCAGAGGTTGTAGTGAGCTGAGATTGCATCACTGTACTCCAACCTGGGCAACAGAGTGAGACTCCCTCTCAAAAACAAAAACAAACCAGGCCAGGCGCAGTGGCTCATGTCTGTAATCCCAGCACTTTGGGAGGCCGAGGCGGATGGATCACCTAAGGTCAGGAATTCAAGTCCAGCCGGACCAACATGGTGAAACCCCATCTCTACTAAAAATACAAAAATTATCTGGGTGTGGTGGTGTGCGGCTGCAATCCCAGCTACTCGGGAGACTGAGGCAGGAGAATCGCTTGAACCCAGGAGGCAGAGGTTGCAGTGAGCCAAGATCGAGCCACTGCACTCCAGCCTGGGCGACAGAATAAAACTCTGTCTCAAACAAAAACAAAACAAAACAAAACAATACAAAAATGGTCACTGCTTGTATCCTCCTGACCGCCTCCCTTCAATCCTCCCATCACCCCACCCATTCCGGGCAGTGTCTCTTTCTGCACATTCCTGGCACATGAGTACCCAGACCTAGTGCACAAGGTCATCATGATCAATGGCGGGGGCCCTACGGCGCTGGAGCCCAGCTTCTGCTCAATCTTCAACATGCCCACCTGCGTCCTGCACTGTTTGTCGCCCTGCCTGGCCTGGAGCTTTCTCAAGTGAGTGCCCCCATCCCAAAGGCCATGATCCTGGCCCTGGCGAACCCAGGCGTCTGCTCGAGTTGGACGGGAGGGGGGCTGTACTGCTGGGACTAGGGCTGGCATCGGGGGGCACCCTGCGGCAGGCGGGCTGGCGTGAGGGGCTCTAGCGGTGCCTCTATCACCACCAGGGCCGGCTTCGCCCGCCAAGGAGCCAAGGAGAAGCAGCTGTTAAAGGAGGGCAACGCTTTCAACGTGTCATCCTTCGTGCTCCGGGCTATGATGAGCGGCCAGTACTGGCCAGAGGGCGACGAGGTCTACCACGCCGAGCTCACCGTGCCAGTCCTGCTTGTCCACGGCATGCACGATAAGTTTGTGCCCGTAGAGGAAGACCAGCGGATGGCCGAGGTAAAGGAGGGCACCCGGGGCGCCACAGCTACAAATCCCCAGGGTGCAGCCCAGGAGGGGCGTGGCCTCTGCGGGGGGCGTGGTAGTGTTTGGTGGGCGTGCTTTCTTCCCAAGGGGGCGTGGTCGCCAGGTGGGCATGGTGTCTAGATGCTGCATCTTGTTCTGACCCCAGGCAAACAGGAGCATTAGGTCTAGCATCAAAGGTATAATCTAGAAAGCAGGGCTGCCCTGGACAGGTGTTAGCAATTATGCACCGTCCCCCCCCACCGCGTGTAAGAAGGCTCTCCTCACAGCGGAGGATTTGTATAAGAGACCAGTGACTATATAATTCTAGGAGACCGGCACCAGGGGATCTTTAGATTAGAAACCTTAATTAGCGAGTTCAGATTAGAAAGGGTCTGGGGATCCTTAGCACTTAGAATAGCCTTGGATACTAGCCTGGCGAGGTGGTTCACGCAGATAATTGCTGTAACTTGGGAGGCTGAGTGGGGCGGATCGGTTGAACCCAGGAGTTCAAGGCTGCAGTGAGCTATACTCGCACCACTGCACTCCAGCCTGGGCGACAGAACAAGACCCCATTTCTCAAAAAAAAAAA